ATTATCTTCTGGAATTTGTGTTGACGACAACTCTGGTGGCTCGGTGACAGTGAAAGAAGCAGGTCCTTCTGTGGATCCACATTTCAAGGTGAACAGAATCATCTCCGTAGTGTCGCCCCCTTTGTCCAGAAGGCGGGTCAGTGTCCAGACACCATGACGGACCCTCCTCAGTGCCCAGATTGGCGTCTGGTTGTTCCGCTGTATGTTCTTTCTCTCTCTCTTTTTAAATATTTTTTTTAAAGATTTATTTATTTTATACAAGAACTGGGGTACAGGTCAGAAGTGCGGGAGGGTGAGAGAATTCACCAGAGCCAGAGCGGGGAGCAGAGCAGGCAGAAGGACCGAAGGACACTGCTGAGGGGAGCAGCGGGCGCGGCAGGAGAGGTCTGCTATGCCATGTGGGGTTCTCCCTGGCCGGCAGGGAATCAAACCGGCGCTGCAGAGGCTGCGGACAGCTTCACAGCGCGGCGCTCAACTGCTGTGCCACCAGGGAGGCCCTGTATGTTCTCTCTTTTCCCTTCCGGCCACCGCGCACTCTTGGCACCTAGCTTCTGGAACCACGGTGTCTGGCGACCTCCTCATGGCACAGAAGGCTAGCAATTCCCACACCGTGGGGTCCAGGCAGGATGAGGTACGACAACTTCAAGATCCCGACAGTCACCATTTTATGAATTGTGTTGTTCTAGGAAATCAGTCCTTTGATTGCGGAGAGACCTGTGGGCGATGATCTTCCTCCGTCCATATCTGCGACTTCAGGGTGGGAACGGGGCTGCCAGGGGCCACACGTCACCCGCTGTGTGTGTCAGGAGCCCCAGCCAATGGAGAGAGATGCGCCACGTGAGATGCTGCGGGAGCAGGGGTTAAAGGACGGCAGGGTAGAGCTTCCTCTCAGTGCCTTTCCCCCACCGACTGCTTCTCCACTCTTCCCAGGAGTTTCTCTGCATTATCTTTTGCTTTGAGCTTCCCTTTCAATAACCTCTTCAAACCCACGTAACCAATCCAGCCTGGGGGCCTGGGGTTCCAGCACCACAGTCACATCTACCCGTGGGCCTGTCCCGTCTCACCACGGGGCCCTGCACCTGCTGTTTGCACTGCCCGAGATGGCCACTGCCCAGACCACCCACTCCTCACCTCTCAGCCAGCCAGCGGTGCTCATTCTGGTTGAATAAAGTACAGCAACAAAAATCCTCTGCTAATCCTCTCTTGAACCAGTATCACTCCTATTATCATAGCTATCGTTTCTTGTTCATTAATGTGTGTTATTTTTCAATGAATTCCTCTAATTTTCAAGAAAGCATAAGTCCCCCAGGGATGGCCATGTTGCTTTGACTGGCGGTTGCCCCCTGACCCACTGCAGGCACATGGCTTCTCTCAGTAAAGGGGCTTTTGAGGAACAAATAACACATTCTTCTGAATACCTGTTGCAGCAAACAGGTTACATAGCTACAAAATCTCGAGTGAATCACTGTGTTCATGGCAATTACACATCTTTCTGCAGACTTTCCTCTCCGTGGGACTCAACTGAGAGCTTCCACTATACAGCGTGGCCCCCACTCCAGCAGAGGGTCCTCACATTTCATGGTCATTATCATGGGGCAGAAAATATTGGGAAATCAGGTGAGTTTTCATTAAATTCTCTATGTCACACCCACCTGCACTTTCTTCATCGGCCCCTGCAATGAGGGGGCACTGCAAGCCCCTCCTGCCCTGCCCAGGGAACCTTCCTGCCCCTCAGGACCCCTGAACACAGCCACAAGCAACTCTAATTGTATTGGCATCACGAGGCGAGTTGACTTTCAGTCCCTGCAGCAGCAGAGAGGCATTTCCTTTTTTCTCCTATCAGCAAGCTCCGTGTCTCTGGGGAACGAGGGTGAGAAGAACACACTTGTAGTCACCCAGGTGGCTTTGGTCCCAAGTGTACATTACTAGTTTTAAGGTTTTGTTGTAAAAATTATTTTCACCAAAATAGATTTCTCTCTTCTGATCATGTGCTGAGACATGCTCCAGTAGCTCAGTTCCCGGGGACGTGACTCCTCAGTGGAGGCTCTGTCATCTCCTGGCACGTCACCCTGCGGTCCGTGTGGCCGGAAACAGTGCCCCGGGGTGTTGTGTCCGGGCCCCAGCACTTGTGAGCGTGGTCCTTACTGCACTACGGAGACCATGCAGATGTGATTCAATTAGGACTCCTGGAGGGAAGGGGTTAGTGTGTGTGACCACGAGGGCCCTGGGCAGAGAGGCCAGCGGTCCTGGGGGTGAGAGAACTCACCAGAGTGACCCGCTGGATGAGCCACTGCTGGCTGTGAGGCTGGAAGGGTCCTCGGTCCAAGGGGAGCAGGCAGCCCAACATCTCCCGATGGGACGCGGCCCCCAAACTGATTTCTGCCCCTGGAGATCTCTGTTGTGCTCTGTGGTCCATGAGCTTATGCTCAGCAGTGAGAGGAAGCAAGTTCACGTGCAAGAAATTCACCAAGTTCACACAGAGTGCAAAGTCAGACATAAACCCAGAGAGTGACAGAAAAGTCTGTTTCATGTTCCTCACAGTAGCAGCTCCAAACCGCACACACTCAGATACACAACGGTCGGCCTACACACGTGCACCAGCCCCTGTGCGTGCTCACAGTACACAGTGTGTGCGCAAGACACCCGTGCGCCCGCGCAGTCGGCCTCACTCGTCTGGGCGATTTGGAAGTTGCACAGCCTCACGCTGATGAAAGCGCAGAGGCCCGCTCCTTCCAAACGCTCCCGACGCGGCTGACACAGCTGGCCGCCGAGAAGGCCGAGATGTCTGCACACGGCTGTACCTCAGAGGGCTGACCGTGGCGCCAGGGTGTCAACGGAGCCTGGCTCCTGAGGTCTTCCCCTGGGGCGTGTCTGCCGTCTCGAAAGCGCCGGGCTGTTTAGGACTAACATTTGTTACCAGTGACTGCTGGTAAATTCTTCATAACTGGGGTCTGCGGAGCCCTCAGATGAAAACTAACATTGGCAGCGGTGGAGAAGCGACAACCAGGCCCTTAAGATCATGCAAAGAGGAGGCAGTGGCGCCAGCACAGGAGTGGGGGGGGCACGCTTGCTGGGAGAGACGCGGGGCGCTGCTGAAGCCAGACGTGGAAGTGGCCGCGCCCTTCCAGCGTGCTTGGAGAGGACACGGGGACCCTTCCCAGAGCCAGGAAGAAGAGGCGGCCACTGGCTGGACGACCCTGACACGCGCCCGCACCGGCCCTCACCGCAAGGAGGCACGGCAGGGCCTGCGGGGCGGCTGCGGGGACAGGGCGTGGGCCGCACCTCAGCAGCACCCGCAGGAGCGGTCAGCACAGCAGAGCCCTGCCCGCCCGCAGCCTCCACCCGCACTTCGCCGCAGCTTCAGCCCAGGCGGTCCTGCCCCGGCCCTGGCTAGGAAGCCGCTTGTGAAGAAGAGGCGCAACAGGGGTCTCCTGTCCATTTCTTTTTTTTTTTTTCTTTAAGATTTATTTATGCACACAGGAGCGGGGTGCAGCCAGCGGTGCGGGGGTGAGAGATTCCCCAGAGACAGAGTGGGGAGCGGAACAGGCGGATCCCCTGAAATCCAGTGCTGAGGGGAGCAGCGGGGGGACCGGCGAGTCTGCTGCGCCCTGTGGGCAGCTCCCTGCCTGGGGATCGAACTCGTGCCGCAGAGGCTGCCACAGCTTCATGCTGCGGAGGCTTAGCCCCGCGCCCCCCGGGGAGGCCCCGGCCCTGTGTCCACGGGCTTTGCTGCCGGCGCCTGCCGTGCCCCTGGCTGGAGCCGCCCGGGGCGTCCGCGTCCGCTGGGGTGAGGCGCGGGGCCGCGCCCCCCGCACAGGGCGCCCCCGTGGGTCTGACACGTCCCGGAGAAGCGCGGGCGGGACGGGGCGTCCGTGAGGCGGCCCCGCGGCAGCCTGGCCCACCGCCCTCCTGTCTCTGCGGCCCGCGGTCTGCGCTGCCCGCTGCGGCCGGTGCGGACACGCTCGCTGCGCCGCCCCGCGGAGGCCAACGCGCCCGCGGCGGGCAGGGGGCCCGCGGCTGCCGTGGACACCGGGTCCCGGCGACGGAGGCCCCTCGGGCCCGGGCCGCGGGGCGGGTGGCGGGCGCGGCCCTGGAGGACGGGGCGGGCCGGGCGGCTGGGGATGCGCGTCTGGGTCACGGTCCGGCCCGGGGGCGGGGGACGGGGCGAGTCGGCGCCGGCCGGGCGCAGCCGCGAGAGCCGCGTGCCCGCCGCCGCGGGATCCGTCACGGGCCCCCTCCCCTCGCCGCGCGCGTCCACCCCCCAATCCCCTCGCCGCGCGCGTCCACCCCCTCCCCTCGCCGCGCGTCCCCCCTCCCCTCGCCGCGCGTCCACCCCCTCCCCTCGCCGCGCGTCCACCCCCCTCCCCTCGCCGCGCGTCCACCCCCCTCCCTCGCCGCGCGTCCACCCCTCCCCTCGCCGCGCGTCCACCCCTCCCCTCGCCGCGCGTCCCCCCCCTCCCCTCGCCGCGCGTCCACCCCCTCCCCTCGCCGCGCGTCCACCCCCCCTCCCCTCGCCGCGCGTCCACCCCCTCCCCTCGCCGCGCGTCCACCCCCTCCCCTCGCCGCGCGTCCACCCCCTCCCCTCGCCGCGCGTCCACCCCCCCAATCCCCTCGCCGCGCGTCCACCCCCTCCCCTCGCCGCGCGTCCACCCCCTCCCCTCGCCGCGCGTCCACCCCTCCCTTCGCCGCGCGCGTCCACCCCCCTCCCCTCGCCGCGCGCATCCACCCCCGCACGTCCCCGCGCGTGCACGTCACGTCCCCTCGCACGCTGTCCCCACACGCCGCCCACGTCCTCGCCACGCACGCCCCGCCCCGCCCACACGCCTCCGCCCCCGCACGCTCCCCGCCCTGCGAGGCGACGCTTCCTCGGCCTGGCCGCGGGTGAGTCGCCCCGGGGCCTTCGCGGCCTGAGCTCCACAGTGGCCGCCGCCCGCCCGCCGAGGGCCCTGCCCGCCGCCCCGGGAGCCCGGCCGGGCCGGAGGCCGCGCCAGTGGACGCGGGCGGAGGGCCCGGGAGATGGCCTGGAGCGGCTCCTCAGGTGAGGCGGCGGGCGGAGCAGCGCGGAGGGGTTCCCAGGGCGGGTGGGCGCGGGCGCGTCCTGAGGGGGGTGGGCGCGTCCTGAGGGCGGGTGTGTGCTGAGGGGGCTGGGGGCGCGTCCTGAGGGCGGGTGTGTGCTGAGGGGGCTGGGGGCGCGTCCTGAGGGCGGGTGGGCCCTGAGGGGCCGGGGCGCGTCCTGAGGGCGGGTGGGTGCCTAGAGCGCTCCGGTGGGGCTGAGGGCCTGGGCCGCGCCCTGGGGTGGGTGTCGCGGTTGCTGCCTTCTTCTGGGGGCCTGAGGGGCTCCGGCAGCGTCGCCTCCATTTCCCCGCGGACGGACACAGGGCGCCTCTCCTGGGGTGTGGGGAGGGCGGACACTTTGTGGGGCTCCGGCGCGGCCGCCCCCGGGCCTGAGGGGTCTCGCGGGCCCGCCTCAGGCCAGCTGGGCTGGGCAGCAGGGTCGACAGCCGCGCCCGGAGCCCGGTGGGCGGCTCCCGCGGTGTTGAGGGGGCGCCCTCCGGCCTGCGAGGACCCGCCGCTGCGGGGGCTGCTGAGCGCGCCGGGGCCCCGCATGCAACAGGCCTCCTCGGCTTCTCACGCACGTCCGGCTGTGGGGTGCGCTTGTCACCCCAGAAGCGCGCCTGGGCGGCCCCCCTTGGTTCCTCTCACGCGGCCCGGCCCAGGCCCAATGCCGGGTGGTGCAGGGAGCCCGACCTCGGCCTCTGAGCGCGCTGCCCGCGCCTGCTTCCCGGGGCCGCAGCTCCGGCCCCTGCCCGGGCTCCCGGCGGCGTCAGCGCTGCGGGGCGGCTCGTGGGCCGCGGTCAGCTCAGCCTCCGGCGGCGCGGGCTCCGGCCGGCCGGGGCGACGCCAGGGAAAAGCCCCGGCGCTGGGGCCGCGCGCGAGCCCCTCGCCCTCCAGACCCGCATCCATCTTAAATAAATGAATTCCGGACTCGCCCGGATTTTCATGATCTCACAAGATTGATTTCCTTTCCTTTAATCTGTTTCTAATAAAAGGGGCATTTTCCTCTGAGTCACCGTCCGCGAGGCTGTCCGTCTTCATTGTCATTCGGGGGGCACCTCTCCGTGGAAGGGGGAGCCAGGTTTCCCGGAGGCAGGCGCCGCGGCGGGTTCTGGGGAGCACGGGGCTGGGGAGCCCGGGGAAGGCCTGGCCTTGGGGTGGGCGGGAAGCCCCCCTCGGGTGAGGGGGCCCCGGTTTGCTCGGCTCTGCGACGTGGTTGACGCCGGGAACTGACGATCACCTGTCTGCGGGAAGGAGCACCTGGAAGGAGGCGGCCTGCGCCCTTCCCACAAGCCCTGCAGTACCAGACGCCGCTCTGCAGCCGGGCTGAGCTTCGCCTGTCGCTGTCTTGCAGGCAGTTGCAGTTAGGGGAGTTTCCCGTCGAGGAGTCTGCACTCCGCCCTGCAGCCGCTGGAGCCCCCCGGGACGTCCCCTCCTGTGGGCCGAGGCTGGGACGTCCCCACCTGGAGGAGGTGAGTGCTGCTGAGTCTCGTATCTGTGTCTCTGGGTGAAACGCTTCACAGTTTTGCCGCGCAGTTCCTCTTGCTCTGAGGCAGCGAGGAAGCCTCCTCCTACCTGTGAGCCCAAGCCCTCAGCCCTGTGTGCCTCACCCGTAGCAGGCTCAGGAATGGCCCCTGAGGCTGCCACTGTTGTGTGACCAGCTCTGTGGCTCCTGGGGAGTCACTGTCGTGCTGGACTCTGGAAACAATGTTATTTTAATGGGCTTAAGCTTACTTCCCTTTCCATGCTGCCCCGTGTGAGGCTCAGAAGAAACAAGCGGCCCCCAAATGCAGAGTCGGAAGGCATTTCAGGGTAAATACGGTGCGTCTTTACTTGCGCCAAAGGGAACAGCAGACTCCTGCTAGTCCGATGTCACTATGCAGCGGGCCGAGGCCCAAGAGTGGGGGACAGATGTGCTGCCCTTGGGGACTCATAGTGACGGTCTTTGAACCATGGCCAGATGGGTGTGTGCTTAAGACAGACAGACAAGCTGAAACCTGTCCAGGAGGTGACTGTTGGGGTGCGCATGAGGAGTCCCTTTCAGACTCCAGAGCTCATGACAATAAAATAATTCAACTTTACGAGGCAGTGAGGTGCTGGGCCCACCGCAGAGGGGTATAGACACACAATTTGTTTTCAAGCTCTTGGTGTCTCAGGGCCACTGAGTGATTTCGATTGTGATGGGGAGGTCTGGACTCATGCCCGACGGTATCGATGTCTCCTCCGTGTTTTGCTGGAGAGGGAGAGGGTGGAAAGTCGTTCCCACGCCTGCTCCTGAAGACAGTGCAGTGCGCTGAGCTCTCGTCACCTCGGGACGGGAGTGCCTGGGGCATGGGATAGGCCGTGACCCCCGCGGCCCAGTCACAGAAGCGGGTTCTCACAGACACTCACGAGCGCTGCAGACTGCGGAGGGACACGCCCTCTCGGTCTTGGAAATGTCAGCAGAGGCGGGGACATTGGATTGTGACTTGAAATTTGTGTCCGAGTTTTGCAGGCAAGGAGTGGAGTGAAGAGAGGGAGCAGGCCGCTGCTCGGCCGGCGGGACACGCGGGTTCACACACCGCAGGGCCGGCGGGGCTGCTCTGTGCTGTTCACTGGCAGCAAGTCCTCGCATGTGCATTTGCGGTGCTTTTGGGAACCAGCCTGCATATCTGCGGCGTCAAGTTCACTGCAACCCTCCACAGCCGTCCTGTGGGCTTGATGGACCTTCCCGCCTTCTCTTTCCTTCCGGCGGCCTCTGGCTGGTCTTACAGTCTGCAGGGCTAGTGTTCTTTTCCTGGGTTCACTCGTTTCCGTCCTCGAAAGCGTAAATCCTGGTCTCTCTCTCCCACTCGTGTCACTCAGCGTGGTTCCCTGTAAGTCCCTGCGCGTGTTTGCAGATGCAGAGTGGCCTGTCTGTGAGAGCTGCGTCGTCTTCCGTTGTGTGTCTACACCGCTTCCTTGCCCTACTCATCAGCCTGTGGGCAAGAGGGTGGTTGCCAGTTCTCGGCTAACAGTAGTGCCACAGGGAACTCGGGCATGCGGGTCTCTCTTCAGACGAGTGTTTATGTGTCCTTCGGGTGAATACCCGCAAGTGGGATAATTGGATCATCATTTCTATTTTTATTTTTTTAGGGAATCTCTGTCCTGTTTTCCGTAATGACGGCGCCCTTGATTCCCATCCCAGTCGACAGTTGCAAGGCTTCCCGTCCCTCACATCCTGCCCAACAGTTTCTTATCTTTTAGATAATAGCAGGTGTGAAGTGTTTGTTGTTTTGATTTCCAGTTTCCCAATAAGAGATGATGCGCATCTTTTTATCTGCATGTCTTCATAGACTTGTCTGTTCAGATCCTCTGCCCATTTTTAATTGAGCTGTTGATTTTGTTGTGTTTCATGAGGTCTTTATAGTGCTTAGATACTAACCTCTTGTTGGGTGTGTGCTGTGCAAATATCTTCTCCCACGTGGTAGGGATGTCTTTTTGTGTTGTTGATAATTTCTTCAGTGTGCAGACACTTTTTAGTTTGATGAAGCCTTCTTAGTTTATTTTTGTTTCCCTTGCTGTGACAGCTGGATCCCCAAAGCCAGCTCAAGGCCATTGTCAATTTGCATATTGCCTATGTTAAAAAGGGATTAATATTTGGGCCTCCCCGGTGGGGCAGGGGTTGAAGTCTCAGCACTATCAAGCTATCGCCAGTCACTGCAGCATGAGTTTGACCCCCCTGCCAGGGAGCTACCCACAGGGTGCAGCAGACCTCTCCTGACTCCCCTCTGCTCCCTTCAGCAGTGTATTTCAGTAGATCTGCCTGTTCTGCTCCCCACTCTGTCTCCAGTGAAACCTCTCGCCCCCGCAGCTTTGACCTATACCCCAGCTCTTGTAAGCATAAATAAACAAAAATAAATATTTTTTAAAAAGGGCTTAATATTTATAAAACTCCGTGTTTGGGGGACAAAGAGTTAATGTCTTAACTGTCAAATTGCTTTCATTTATATTTTCTCATCTGATTCACACCATTTTGTGAGTAGAAGGTATTGGTGTTGGGCACATGTCCTAGTCCATTTGGATGATTGTCACAAAATCCCTTACACATGGCAGTTTGTAAAACATGGAAATGTGTTTCCCGTGGTTCTGGAACCGGGGTGACCATGGTCAAGGCATGGTTGTCTTGTGAGGGTCTACTTCCTTCCCCCTGTAACCTCATGTGGTGGGTGCGGAAGAGAACTCTGGGGGGCATCTTTAGTAAAGGTGCTGATTCCAGTCACATGGTCCCATCTCTTAACCATCCTGTTGGGCTTAAGTTTCAACGTAATTTCGGGGGGGGGACACAAATAGTCCCTCCTACCCAAGAATTGAGAGACTATTTGAATCACTTGAATCCTAGAGAAGTCGGGTGACTGAACTGAACTAGAATCCAGAGCCTTCACCCTGATTTCACTTCCCTGGATAGACACAGAGACACCTCAGAGGTATGGGGGGGTGGTTCCACAATACCCCTGTGAAGTGGTTATTGCAGTTAAGGAAGTCACATGAACAGGTCTGGTCTCCCCAATGCATATGAGAGTCACATTTGTGCTCTACCGTGGTCTGTCAACTGTGCTATGGTGGTCTGTTAATTGCTAACTCCAAGGGGGTTTCCACTTTTACAAGAGAAGAGAGCAGCAGTAGTTTTGCAGAAGCCATGCTAGAGGCTGGGGGCCTGCAAGTCCTCAGAAAACAAGATGGCACCTTGGTGAACACCTAGGAGGTGGGCATGCTCTGGGCTTCCGGGAGGAGGCGCCATGGACTCACAGTGCGCGTGGGGTAGGGTACAGGCTTTGGGTCAGTGAAGGACATGGGATCTGTGGAGCAGTGATGAGAAAAGTGTAACTGAGCGAGAGGGAAGCATCGTCATCTTTCTGGGGGCAGGGAAGCAGGGAGGGAGGTTGGTCCACAGTCTCCAGTGGAAGGAAAATAATTTCTTATGGCATTAGACTCAGTACTTTAAAAGCAAAGGGGTTAAAAGTGAGAAGTCTTTATTCCAGAAAAATCACATAATGATGATCCCAGACAAGAGGTGAATAAATAATTCATTATTCTCTCAGAGAAAAATCAAAGAACTGATGTTGAAATATTAGACATTTCACAGCAGGGGACCTTTGTACCTTGTGTCCACTATCATAATTTCCCTAATTCATCAGCACTGCCCTCAGAAATAGAAACTCTCTTGATTCTTCGAATAGCAAGAGTTTTTCAGTTCCTAAAACTCCCTCTGTTGTGTTGTGCATGTCTTAGATTTCTGAGTAGTCTGAAGGTCTTCCTAAGTAGCATGAAGTGCGTTGGAAGTATTGTTTTGTGAAAGATTTAGTCAAGAGTTATGAACTAACATTAGCTTCATAATCACTTACTGTCGCTTTTATTTATCTCAGCCCAACTGTTTAATTGCTCTCTTGTGCACTGAACACTGACAAGCACAGCCAACCCTAGTCGAGCACCTTCCGCGAAGTGTGTCTTGTGTAAACCATAGACTTGGACGTGGCCCAGTTGAATCTCGTGGCGTCCTGTGGCTTTGTGGTGCTCGGGGTCTCTCCAAAGAACTGCGCAGCTGTTCAGAAGCGGGAAAAAAATCTGCACTCCATCGTGGAGCCCAACCCTGCTTACAGCGCCGGGGCCTCGGGAGCACCAGTTCCGCTCCTGCTGAAGTGCTGGTGTGGGCTGCCTGCTTGCAAGAGCGCACATCGCTCGCCTGGCTCTTCAGAAAACACTGCGTTCGTGCCTGTTTTTGCTAACCAGAGGGACTCCGGGGGGTTTCCACTTTCACAAGAGAAGAGAGAAGTGATGGTTTTGCAGCAGCAACTAGAGGCTGGGACCTGCGAGCAGAGGTGGCCTCCCCAGGCCTGCCCCAGAACTGCTGCAGATGGGCTGTGAGTGTCCACTTGGTCCTGCTTTACTAGGCGTGTGTTTTTTTAGTTTCTGCGTGTTACCTGGTGTGATGTGGTGGGTTATTTTTGGATCTGGGAACACTCAGATATTTTCCATAGAAGGTGGCGGTGCTGTTCTGTGGCCTCCCGCCATTTTAGCTCATGGAAGCTTTCGCCAGCCCACAGGTAGCAGGCGATGGGTACATGGGACAGCTGTGGGAACACCTGCAGCGATATGGCAAAGCAGGTCACTCTGTCGGCTTGACCAGGGCCCCAGTATGTTCACTTGGGTTTGTTTACCAGAGCTTTAACTCGCATGTGCCTGTGCTTCTCAGAAGCTGGGAGCACAGGTGAGGGTTTCATTCTCTGCGTACGTCACAGAGCTGGTGGCGCAGCACTAGTGCCAGGTTGCAGTGAAATGACTCGCCTGTTGCAGAGCACTGCACACACATAGCTGCGATTTGCCCTGGAGCTTTCCATGATGCAGGGAAGCTCTTCCTGTTTCAGAGTATCACGCTCGGGACAGTCATTACACAGACCCAGGAGAGCACCCCATGCCTTCAAACACGAGCACCCAGAGAAGACACCATCCCGACGTGGGTGACAGCTGCTTCCAGCAGGGCAGGATCACCTGCTCTGTGTTCCCTGCAAACCCGCCAGAGAGAACAGGCCACACGAGAGCTGTCTGTGGGAATAAAACGGAGCTGCCAGGCTGTCAAGGTGATGAAACCTTGGCAAGGATTATCGAATCAGCTGTTGAGACTCCCTCCCTGGAGAACTTCAGGAAGAGAGCAGGCATCTATCTGTTCTAGAAACTTAGACATTTCACTGCTGGAGGACAAATTAAAACTTCCAGCTGGACCAAATGATTTTTCAAGGTCCCTTCCAGCTCAGTCATTTCTCACTATCAATTATTTTCCACCTGACAACTTGCAACTTTTAAAAGGAGCTCTTCTGTATTTCTTAAAGCACAACTCCCTTCTAAACTTTCAATTAAGTGTCATTGATTATATTTCCTTTAACCTGCATCCCAAGTAAACACAATGTTCTGTAGCAGGATAACCTGCAGCTTCCATTTAATATCTGCTGCCATTTCATGAGCAGATCGGTGAGTCTGTGACTCTGTTGGCGTAGAAGCTGCAGAGACGGGCTTGGCAGACTGCCCTTGGTGTCCCATGAAACCAGGGCACTCTGTTTCCTGCCTACACATGATTATATCTTAGCAAGGATTTGTGTTTCCTTGGGATTATGTTTTGTTTTTTCCTATTTGAAGAACTTGGGTCTGACTTGTTTGGAATTTTACCCCGTAATAAGTCAGGGGAGAGTCTTTTGGCTCTGATAGCATTTCCTCTGAAAGGCACCTCAACACGTGAATCAGTGAGCCAGTGCCACAACCCGAGAAGAAATTAACTCACCATTGTTCATCTTCATAGTCCATGTCTGGTGGTTTCCATGGCGACTCCGTGGCTAGCTGCATCTTTGCTTACCAGATGTCTTATTGTTCAACTGCTTGTCTATCTTCAGAGTTTAAAGTTTGAAAACTGAAGCTCAAGAAGAACATTTTTTCTAAATATCACAGAGAAGGCAAAAAAAACCCTAGAATTTTCACGTCGTTATGTGCATGGAGACAGAACAGGGCATCGTCCTGAGTCGCATTACCTCGTGGGCTGTTCCCATTTACATGGGCTCTGATCAGAGTCATGATGATGAAGGTTTAGCTGTAACTGGAATGATTCCTGCCTTCCCGGTGCTGCCCCATCCACCCCGTGGTGCATCGGGTCACAGAGGAACCCCGTAGTGCTACCAGCACGCTGTGCCAGGTGGTGTGAGGATTGGCATTGGAGAGACGCTTTGGTTCATGGCAACCTTTTTTGAAGAAATGAGACCAAATGACTGCCTGAGAAGTTCTCTGGGAATATTGACTTCCATGTCGTTTTCTGATAACATCCTGGCACACGATCACTTACTCTGTTAAATTAGGACTAGGTGTCAATTCCATCCAGTTTCGCCCTCAACTTTGTGCCACAGATGGGAGAACAAGCAGAGTAGTGGAGGCCAGTGTGCTGTGGACAGGCGAGCACTGGGCATGAGTTTGCAGGGCGCCACACCTGTGCCGTGACCTGCCCATACACACTGCTGTACCCGCAGGGGAGACTGGAGGGGCCAAACAGTCCAAACTACTGAAGAAAGTAAATGTCTCGATTCCATTTCTTGGTGGAAAACTTAATTTACAATCCCAGAGATGAAGAACTAAGAAAGAGAGTTAAAATTCTATTTAGAATGTGAGGTTTTTTTTTTTTAAGATTAGCATCCGTGCATGTTGTGAAAATTAAGTATTTTAAATACAATGTGAAGTTCTCCTTAGCTGTAAGGTTTTAAATTGTCAGGGCATTTTTCCTTTTTGTTCCATGCAGTGACACGCTTTCTGCCTGCCTTGTACCCCAGACTGTGAATTAGAAGATTAGTGTTTGTGCGTTGTTGCATTCATGGAGATTATTACTTACAACAAATCCCTCCAGAAAGTGATTGGAGGATTAACTTGTGAGCTCCAGCAGTGCAAATGCTTGGAGGCGCCTGTGAGGTTTCAGGATGCCCAGGTTGTTCAGAGGGCCTCACCTGCTCTGGAGCGGTGGCCACCACTCCCAGGGCTGAGGCTGTCTCTCGTCAGGCTCTCAGGAAGGGTGGTGATGAAACCAATACCTGAACTGTACTGATGCACTTCCCTTCTAACAACTGAATCTCGGCATCTTTCACATCCTTACGCGACGAGCCCGAGCATCTTGATGAAAGAACTCCAGACGCGCCGGTGATTATAGTAGATGTCCTTCTGCCTATCCCCGCTGCCTTCTGCTGTGTGTAAATGCACTTAATTTCCTTTGGGAATTGCCTCTCCCTCTTCAAAAGTGTTCCTTCTTAGCAACACCAGCCTCTGTCTCTCGCTCCCCATCCTGTCCTTCTGCTAGAGGGTTGGCATTTGCCATGGACAGCCCTGAAAGTTGCATCTTGAGCAAAGGGACACAGAATTTAAACACTGGGTGGACACTTACATTCAGACTTGAGAGCACCTGTGAGTTAGTGCAGCCGAAGCCTCACCCTGCCCGCGTGAGGCTGGGGCTCCCGGCATGCCTGTGAGTCCAGATGATGATGTGGGTGAAGCCATCTACTACTTAAGGAAGATGTGATACCAGTTGTAATGTCATTGAGGCAATAGAAGAAATCTCATTTGATAAGTGTGTTATACCCAACAATAAAGCATTAAAGGAAATCTGTATTAACTTTTGTGTAATATTACGTAAATAATATACTAATACATATACAAACAAATGTCTACATTATAATAAATTGTAGTGCAGATAGTAAACTGAAAAGCTATAAACCAACACACCTCATGAGCCAGGACACAAAAGTCTTTTAGACATAACAAGCGCAGCAGGTGGAGCGGTGCACGCGCTGGCTGGCTGCTGTGCACAGGGGGGAAGGCACAGCTTGCGTGACGTCACACACCGGTCAGTGGAGCTCACCCCATGGACGGAATAAAGACTTTAAGTCAGTGGGAGCTAAGAAAGCATTTCATAAAATTCATCTGTTCTTATGAAATAGAAATGTTCAGCAAACAAAAATTTACATTTTTTAAAATGTAGTGCACCTCCAAATACCCTAGAATGACTATCACACTTAGTTTTGAAAAATCAAATGCTTCCCCTGAAGATCAGGAACAAGACAAAAATGTCGTCTTGGACCTCTTCTAGTCAGTGCTGTGGTGGTGATCATGATAATATAACAGAAAAGAATATAAAGGCATAAATAATGGAAAGATGGTGATAGTGTTACTGTGTACATTAAAATGCCCAAAGGAATTTTCAAAGAAACGAGCAGAACGAATATGTGAATTTGGCAGGAGCCCAGAATACCGCGTGGAAGAGATGCACGCCTACCCACAGGTGGGCCACAGCAGTGGGGAAATACAATGTTCAAAGTACCATTTGTAGTGCTATCAAAATAGAAACCAAACTATTAAGAATGAACGTAATGAAACATGTTCACGGAGACACATTGGAATTTAGAAGCTATTGCTGATGGGTGAACAAAGAAATGCAGAATTGAGAAGTGACTGACGTGAACCAGAGCGTGCGAAGCCAGTGCCCCCGGTCTGCCCAAGGCTGTTCACACCGGTGTGGCCAGTGAAAACCACAACAGCATTTTAAAATAGAAATGAACAAGCGTACTGTAACAATTATATGAAGATCCAAAGGATTTAGAACATCGAAGGCAATTTTGAAAAAGCGCTCTGAAGTGGAGGGCTTACTGTGGCTGATGTCACAGTCCCCTTGGGTCACCACCATCAGCTAGAGCGCCGGGTCTGTGCGGGACCGGGCCGCAGAGCGCGCCCACAGTGCGGAAAGAGGCGTGCGCCCGTGCTCAGCGAGCATTTGTGTCCATTGCTCTTCTGGGGGCAGGTGAAAGGTTTTGGGAGTTGAGGCCAAAACAAGTTATTTGGGGGGATGGGAAATCTTTAGTCTTCCTTCACACTAGGCAGAAAAGTTAATTTTAGATTGATAATGGACCGAAACAGAAAAAATACATAGTTTCTAGAAGAAATCTCATAAGTATTTCTTCACACCATGTGTAGACAAAAGTCATTTGTGGGTTTCTTTGAATATTTACCACACAAGAGAGTTGAGAAGTTGGGCTTCACCACCGTGAAAACTTGGACTCATGTTGCATTTGAGAGAAACTGGGTGAAAACAGCAGAACAAAGGACTGTTACGCTGGATGCAGGTCTGTCATACGGAGATAGTAACCCAGTTTAAAAAGTGAGCAGAGCGCTCGGAGTAGTTTCCAGAGCATGAGAAGCCAGTGCCGCCTTGGGGTGCCAGGTGAAGCATGGGCTACAGAGGGGAAAACAGATTCACCCTCAAGCGAGTCCTCCACGAAGCGGCCAGTGGTGAATGATGACGAGAGTTAGCATGGGCGGGACACCCACGCCTTGGCGCAGACAGAGGTCAACCGCCGGGACAGAATTCATGTCACAGGCTGACTCTGGGTGGGGGACTAACCAGTGAGTGTCCTGGGGAAGTCTGTGGGGTCATGAGGTGCTCAGAATCCTGACGTCACGATGTTAAAGCGTGCCCACGTGGTTTGAGAGCCTGTGCCTGGGTGCACACATTACATGCACACACGCTTGTGACAGCTCGGTATAATGTGCTCTAGTGTCTTTATTTCTGCATGTCACATCAAACATACAGCAGATTTATCAAAGCACGTGTATCAGAGAGACCTTTTTGTGTTTGTAGCTTGTAACACGGTCCATTTGAAAACACTCAACTGGTGAGTCTTTACTGCAGATACAGCGACTTGGAGGTCAGGCGTGTCCGCCAGGTCCTCCGTACACGGCGTCTGCGATGGTGGCTTTTGAGGAGCTGACCTGTCTGGACGATCAGTTGTTGCAGATGTTCTGAGAATACGTATTCGAGAGAATGCTGGTTCCAGTTTGTTGGAGAAGCGAAGATTTAATCCCCTGAATAGCTAAGATAATATACTGAAACTGTTATAATTAGGATGACCAGGTGCACTGTGAGAGTCAGTCCCAGGCATGGGGCCGTTGACGGGGACACGCAGGGTGACGGTGTCTCGTCAGCGGCACATGGGCCCCCTGGCCAGCACCCCTGGCGCGGTCGCTGGAGCGGCAGGACCCAGAGAACTCTCTTCTCTATACCTAGAATACTAATGAAGGGCAGGCGGGTCCAGCCTGGCGTCTTCCCTCCCTCGGCGTCCTGCTTAGCCAAGCAGAGCGAATTGTGGATAATTTGTTTTTGAAACCGAGTTTCTACACCGGGTGTGAAGACTGTAATGCGCGTTCTTAATGACATGCGCTGCTTCTCCGGCTTGTCCCATAGCTTCTCCTTCTGTCCCCACCACTTAGAATGAAAAGGCCGAGTGCTTTATAGTTTGAGAAATAGTCCTCAGGGCACGCTTGCACACACACACACACGCACACAGATTGCCTTGGGCCAGCACCAAAATTGTAAGGAAAATAGCATTTTGAAACTTAGAATCCCCAAACTCTCCCATGTATGATCCTGTCACTGGTCTATTTACATATGCATGTAATGATCTTTCTTTTTTTCAAAAGTCTGCAAAGTTTTCCTCGAAACCGAGGGCTCTCATGTTAGTCCTGGTATCTTTCTACCGCCTCTGCCTCGAATTACTTTGTGCACATCAGCTAAGCTGAGCCCGCTTAAAACCCAGCTGGTGTGTGGCTCTGAGCACAGCGGCAGCGGAAGCCCAGGCCACTGCGGGCAGTTGACTTGCTGGCTCTCCCCGGGCCTCTGCCCAGGAGAAGGCTCTTCGGAGAAATCTTAGAAGGTAGCTGGGTCCTGATCCCTGAGTTTCGTTGTCCAAGTTGGAGCAGAAGGAAACAGGAGCCAGAGCACTCCAGGGAGTAGAGAAGAGTGCCTGTCGGTGGAAGGGACAGACTCCCTGGGCACTGCCCCCTGTGAGGTCCCTGGGCTGCTGAACGGGCCTCAAGGCACTTACCTGGCGGCCTCGGACTCTGCTGTGCAGACAGAGCTGGGCCTGGAGGAGACAGTTGGCTCATCTCCAGCCCTGGGCACTTCTCTCCGTGCTCAGTGGGCAGCAGGGAATGTCCTGGCGCATTTCTCTGCCGTGGAGACCACTGGAGTTTCCTGCTCCACCGCTGTGTCCACGGAGCAAAGGACCCGGCTTCTGACCGCCATGGGCACTGCACCCGGACAGTGAGGGAGGCACTTTCTGCCATTTTAACAAGGCTTGGGAGGGGCCTGCGATGCAACACCGGGGATAGGTTGCTCCCCACTGTTTCCCCGCCTGGAGCCGAGCCCACCAGCACCCCAGCTTTACACAGTGGGTGAAAGTACCTTGTGCTTTGTTGGGCTGACAACACCACACTGACAGACGGGAGTGGTGGAGCCAGCTAGGACAGCCTCACAGCATCAGTGTGAGGGGAGGAGGGGAAAAGCTCAAGAACGTGCTGTCATCTGCAGCGTCAGTGTCGGGAGTCCGCCCTCTTGTGATTGAGACAAGCCCTAGGCCCCAGCCCTGGTTTCAGGCTCATCAGCAAGGCGTCCCCTGAGCAGCTTCTGGGCTCCCTTGTCATACTTCAGTCCGTAGCCCCGTGAGGCACGCCTTTCCGGGGTGATCGGCTTCTGCTCGTGATTGATTTGAAGGACACCTGGTGGGGTTGGGCACCCATGACCAATGGACCGGGCAGCTCTGGCCTTGTACGGGATCACAGGACCACAGGCCACAGCAGTGGCGCTGAGCAGGCCACTCAGGGTTCGCAGGTCTGCAGATGCACAGGTGGGGGTAGTTCCTGAAAGGTTGTGGCTTCAGCCCCGGCCTCTCATGGAACATGGTCAGTACCTCCCGGGCCTCGTGGAAAGCCCGGCTGCTTGCCCCACGCCAGGTTTTTTCTGGCCTCTGACCCATGTCCAAGGTGGGTCCTCCTGGGGCAGCCCCTGCCAGTACCCCTGGGGCTGCCTCCAGCTGCCTTCTCCCCTCAGTGCGGGGTCCTTCTCTAGGAAGACCCGAGGCCAGCCAGGTGGGCTTTCCCCTGCGCCTCGGCCTTCAGCTGGGAGCGAGGCTGGGGGCCAGCTCCCTTGTGTGTGTGTGTGGGGGGGGCAGTACACTGTGCACTCCTGGTGAAAGCACTGAGGGGTCAGAGGCACTGGCAGTGAGGGGTGGAGATGGCACTGGCAGCCTCTGGGGAGGCACCCACATGGGAATAGCCCGGCACCCTGGCTTGAGGTGCCGGCAAAGCTGACAGATGGTCCCACTGGACGGGCCACAGAGGAAGCCAAGCGCCCAGCTGGTGCCGCGTGGTGTGGAAGCACTGCCTGAGCAGGCTCTACCCTGTGGTGGCCTCGGTGCGGGCCGCTGGGGTGAGCGTCGGGCCTTTCCCAAGACACTGCGTGTTGGGGCTTGAGGGCCCAAGAGGACCCAGTCCGAGCGCAGGGCCACTTGCGGGGTGGACGCACAGCCCCAGGCCGGCCCGAGGGCAACCCGTGGTCCTTGGGGAGGCTGCGCCAGCTTGAGCGCCCAGCCCGCCCTGTCAGCCGGCCCTCCCCGCCACCCATCCTCCTTTAGATCACCGGGGACCTGAGGCCTCGCACGTCTGGGGTCCCGGCTGGGTTAGGGAGCAGGTGGGATCCACATCTCCCGCGCCTCCTGTCAGCCCATCCCGGGGCTCTTGGCAGTCGCAAAGGTGGACCCCTTAGTCTGAAGTAGGAGTCTCCAAAAGGGAAAATGGGAA